TTCTTCTTTAATCTGTTAACATGGAGAAATACTACTGGTAGGTTTTCTACTTTTACACCAACTTCAAATTCCTGGTATAAAGCCACCTTGGCTACAATATAGTATTTCTTTTATATATTGCTGGATTTGATGTGTTACTATTTTGTTTTGGATTTATATATCCATGTGAGTAAAAGAGATTGCACTGTAATTTTCTTTTCTTATTATAGTCTTTACAAGATTTTCATGTCCAAGTTATGCTACTCTCATAAAATGAGTATAGCAACTGTCTTTATTGAAGTATAACTGGTATGCAGTAAACTGTACACATTTAAAATGTACAACCTGATAAGTTCTGACATATGTACATATAATTGCGAAACCATCATCCCAATCAAGATAATAAATATATCCATCACCCTTAAAAGTTCACTCAGAACTTTTTATAAAAATCAAACTAGGAAAATATGAACACTCAGACTTTCCTTATGACAAAAAGCAAGTTTTTTTTTAATATCCACCGAGTAATTAAGAACTGCATATTACCAAATGTTTTAGAAATGGCAGCATTTAGAAAAGTAAATTTTGTAAACTTTGGTAAAATGTTCAAATTCTCTTCTTGCTAGGATAACATTAGTTCTCTGACACCTCAATAATCCATAAGTGCATTTGTTCTAAAGTCATTTCAGGCCTGAGGAACACTTTATAGTCACTGACTGGCACTCTGGCCACATGATCTCCTCATACCCTGCCGTAGGCTCTTTTATCTTAATAGGAAAAAAGAAAAAATCAACCTTCCATTCCAAAATATATCTGTCTGGCAGTTAGATCTGGACCAGAGGATAAAAACTTGCAACTATAGAGTGATTGCCTCTATTTTTCTCTTCAGAACTCAGAAGCCCATATGTAGCAATTTTAAATGAAGTAAAATCTTCTTACAAAAAAAGATGTCCCCAATTCAAAACCAAAGAACACAATCATTGACCTGCAGACTGTTTTGGTTTTTACTATGACACAGAAATGTATTAATAGGAATACCCTGGGTTGGTCCTTAATTTCAACTGAGAAGATTTCTCAAAGCAATGAGTTCAGACTCACTTCAAGGTAACTAGAAAGCACTTTACTTTTTAGTTTTATCTTGAAATAGAGAAATCTCCCCATGGAAATTCCTGAATGTGTTAGCCCCCTAGGATCCTAAAAATTCGTAAAATTTTTTAGTTATTTCGTTTGATGTGGACCATTTTTAAAGTCTTAACTGAATTTATTACAATATAGCTTGTGTTTTATGTTTTGGTTTTTTGGCCATGAAGCATGTGGGATCTTAGCTCCCTGACCAGAGATCAAGCCAGCACTCTCTGCACTGGAAGGCAAAGTCTTAACCTCTGGACCTCCAGGGAAGTCCCATGATTCACAAATATTAAAAAAAGGAAAAAGGAGAATTTTCTCTCCTCCTAAACTTGTGTTTAGGAAACGGGCAACAGGGAAAGAGCAGGGCAACAAGAACAGGATGAAACGCCAGTCATTGCCATTAGGACCGGGAATTATCTATTGGGAGCAACAACGAACAGTGAACCATGGCTCAGCGGACACTGTCCCAGCAGCAGTTCCTTGACTCTTATTTACATCAGGCCTAAGGACATACGAAACAACCGCATTTACATAAGTGTCATCAGAATTACCAATAAGCTGATTTGACAATAACTGAACTATCTGATCTAAACCATCTCACATGTTTTAGTGCCAGCCTGCACTTAAAAGATATTTAATTAGCTTTTAAACAATGGAGACATCTGTGAGAACTCAATGAGCCATTTCAAGTTTCCCCAGGTCATTTGTTCTGCTTTATCCTATATATGCAGGACAGGATGCTGCATACAGCAGGTGTTAAATAAAGGCTTACTGAAGGAAAAAACAATTCCTGCCCACATCACCAAGTCAGCAGGGCCCAAACACAAGCTAGCTGTGTGCACTGGAATTCTCCCACATACCTGTAACAGCTCATCACGGGAGATCTTGTCATCTTTATCCAAGTCATACAGTCGAAAAGCAACTGGTAGGAAAAAAACAAGAATTTAGTGGAAAGTCAATAATGTTCTGTCCCTCCTCAAAGAAACACGTATATAAAGGACACCAGGCAGAAAACTGACAATGAATTAATAGTTTTTCCAAGAGCAACTGCCCTTATTTGTAGAGATTTAAAGACACTTGTAACTGATTTTAAGACACTTTAAGGAATTGGGATACATCTCATAAATGATGGCATTTTATCATGGATGAAACACAGCCTTTCATTGGAAAAATAAAAAAACTTAATAAATCGAATGTCCTTTTTCTTAACTTAGAATGTTAACCCTCCCTCCCCCACCAAAAAAAAACCCAAATCCCATCAGAGATTCTGTCAGTTAGGCCATCTCTACACAGACTATCAAGTCTTCTCCACCGTCAGGGAGAGTCAACAACAGAAGCCATGCAGGCACCAGACAGCAGACTACAGGATGTATTACTGTGGAAAAATGACCACTTCGGCAAATTCGTGTCAAATTTCAAATAACTGTCAACTACAAATTGGCACTTGCCATCTACCTCTACAAGACTGAATCATGTGCTTCTGCAGCCGCTGATTTTTAACATCCTGTGAATGGAGTTCAGGGTGGAGAGCAGAAATGAGGTACTCTGTGTTCTGGGAAAAACTGGCAGGACAGGTCTTCAAATAGTTATGTATTTTCAGGAGCTGATTTTATGAGACCAATTCTTGCATCTTCTCATATCTAGAAAAGCACTGAAATCCTTCATGGTGATGTCTGCTCCTCATGATGAGCATTAACCTTCACAAGACTAGCAGAAACTTTCTACAAAATATATGTGCCTGATTGCAAGTACTCCCCCTTCACCCAAATCACACATACTGGCTTTCCTGCTGCCTCTTTGGAGCAGTTTCTCAGAGCTATCTGAAATGCTGTGTCCCAGGCTATAGTCTTCATTTTGCCTCAAATAAGACTTGACATAATCCTCTTCCACTTGGGAGTCCTGAAGGTAAAGGAACTTGTCTTCAACAGAAAGACCAAGCATTTGGTGGTCTCCTGGCCTCTTCATGCTTCTTCCTCTTTAACAACAGATAGGTAAATCCATGGCTGATTCATGTCAATGCATGGCAAAAACCACTACAATATGTAAAGTAATTAGCCTCCAACTAATAAAAATAAATGGAAAAAAAAACCCGATAGATCTTTCAGAAACTAGGATATTTGAGAGAGAGAATTCAGAAGAGCAGAAATCACTCAGACAGTGTCATGTTCTTAAAGGGCCACCAAGTGAGTAGTGTGGTAACACTGGATGATTTTATAGGCACTGTGAGACATCACACAGAGGACATGACTACCATGTAATAGCTGAATGTTGTACTTTCGAGGGTTTGAATCACTTCAAGTATGCCGCTAAGATTTTTTGTTTTCAGCAGTGAAAACCAAAAGGTACTGAAGGTACTAAAATTACTGAAAATACCAAAAGGCCCATATCCATTGCTTTATAGTTATCAAGATACACAGATTTAGATCTGGTTCCTTGAAATTCACAATCCAGTAGAGAACACCACACACTATGCACTTTAATACATTCGAAATGCTATCACATGTGAAATACCAGGGAACACAGCATACTGCAGATGTGTCTTTCTGGTTCAAGTAACATTTGAACAAGGTATTGAAAGATAAACAGAAATCTGATAAAGGACGGATTCCAGGCAGAGCTAACACTGACAGCAAAGGCTTTACATGGATGAATATCTACAAGTTTAACCATCACCCCTTGCCTTCCCCAAAAGGAAAAAAAAAAAAAAGAGGGAGGAGGGCGGTGAGTCCACTAAAAGTCCAAGTAAAAATTTTAGAAAAATTCCAATTTACATTTTGTAAGGTACATATTAAAATTCTCAAAGGGGGAGTAAATAGGAGAGATTTTCCCTGATGTTTGTCAGTTTTCTTTAATTTGGTTAGTTGAGTAACTATGTTTACCAAATTTGAGATTTATATGATTAGGAAGTTTTTGACTCCCAGGGAAGGGACAGGATCATAAGTGTTCCAAAATGAATGTGTGTTTAACACAGTTTTACCAACTTGAAAGAGAACAAATGTAATGTACATGAATAACTGTATCACTTTGCTATACACCTGAAACTAACACAACATTGTAAATCAACTATAGTTCAATATAGAATACAAATTTAAACACGTACACACACCCCCTCTCTTCTGCATATGCTGTTATCATTCTAAAATACCATAAAATGTGTTATTTGCTAAGGAATGTTTAGGGTGATTTAGGGATAGAAATCTGCTTGCTATATAACCCATAAATATGCTTCTGAATTTCTTAATTGGGTACTGGAATAAACACACTTCTTTCTGACAGAGTATTTAGAGGAACCTGAAAAGCTAATTTTTGAAACCTAGTTGCCATGGACTGAATGTTCCAAATTCTTATGTTGGAACCATAAACTCCGATGTGATGTTATTAGGAGGTAGAACCTTTGGGAAGTAATTAGGGTTAGATTAGCTCATGAGGCTGGGGCCCTCATGAGGAGATTAATGCCCTTATAAAAAGAGGAGACAGGAGATCTCTTTATCCCTCTCTCTGTCTCCACCTCCCTCCCCATGTGAGAAGACAGCAAGAAGACTGAACCAGAAGAGGGGCCCCAACCAAGAACATGACCATGTTGGCAACCTAATCTGAGTCCAGTCTTCAGAACCAGGACAAACGTCTGTTTAGGTCACCTAGTCTATGGCATTCTATTGAAGCAGCTTGAACAGACTAGACAGCCCCAGAGGGGTAACTAGAGAGATCACGTGATAGAATCTTTTCGAAAAAACTGCAGTTAACAGTACTTTCTTAACTGATTTGGACTTCTGTCAATCAGCTCTGGTCTTGAACCAGCAGAACCAGCATTTTCCCCGAGATAACTAATGGTCAAATGCCAAGTGACTGGGCCGTTTTGTCAGCTTCTCTCTTTCCTCCCCTCCTGTCCATTCCCCATTCTTGGTCTGTGACTTGGGACTCTCCTGTCTCCCGAAGTGTAGCTTCTCACCTCGGGCCTCAGGGCTTTACACGCCATCTAATGCTGATGGTTGCCGAATGGGCATCTCCAGCTCGGATCCCTCCTCTGAGCTCCTGATGTTGACATCAGAGCAATACGCACAGTGGTTAAGACTCTGGCTCTGCTGAGTCTTACCTCTGACAGCCTACTTACTGTGTCTAAGCGAGTAAGTCACTTAACCTCTCTGTGAACCAGCTGTCCTAGAGGTGCAAGGTGGGAGTAACAGAATCCACCTCAGAGGGTTGAAGACTGAATGCGTTAGTACATGGAAGGCGTCTTAAACGGTGTCTGGCACACAGGAAGAGCGCGATCAGTGCCATGTACCTGCGTCACCTCTCTGCTTTCCTCTTCTCTCCTCTGCCCTGCTCTCTTTCCTTGATCATGCTTCTTTGTTCTCTGAACATCAAGCACTCATTTCTACCCAAGGACCTTTATACCAGTTGTCCCCTCTGCCTAGACCATACTTCTGTTCTTGGCATGGTTGGCTCATTCTTAGCTAAAGCTTCAACTCCTCACAAAGGTTTCCCCAACCCCTCATTTTAAAGCAGTGACACCCCCATTCATTTCTCTTCTCACCATATTCATTTTCTTCACAGAAGTTGCCATGATCACAAATTCTGTTTATTCATTTGTCTTTTTCCAAATAGTCTGTCTCCCTTATTGGATCATAAGCTCTATGAAAGTTAAGGACCTTTTCTGATTTATGCGTCATTGTATCCTGGGCCTAAAATAGTGTCTGGCATTCAATTTGGTTTTAATGAAAGAAAATGAAAGCACTCAGTCAAACCTTTACCTTTTAATCACTGTTACGTCTTTAAAAAAAAAAAAAGTAGTAAAATAAACTTGACCCTTTTAAAGTATACAATTGAGTACTTTCACACTATTGTGTAAACATCATCACCATCTATCTCCAGAACTTTTTCATCTTCCCCAATTCAAATTCTGACCCATTAAACAGTAACTCCCCATTTCCCGCTGCCTCTAGGCCCTGGCAACTTTCTATGAATTTGACTGCTCTAGGAACCTCACACAGGAGAAATCAAATAATATTCATCCTTTTGTGTCAGTCTTATTGTTATTTAGTATCAGGTAAATTTATCCATGTTGTAGCATGTGACAGAATCTCCTTTTTTAAGGCCATTTAATATTTCATTGAATGTACATACCACATTTTGTGTATCCATTCATTTTTGATGGACATCTGGATTGCTCTGACCTTTTGGCCATTGTGAATAATGCTGCTCAGTTTCTTCCTGGCTACTCTCCCAAACTCCACTTCACCAATACTCTTCATCATCCAAATAAAATGTCTTCATGCAGACTCATTTCCCACTTTACTCATTATGTGTTATAAAAAACAAATTACTTCAGAGGACAAATAGAATACCAAAATGGAAGCTTATCGACCACTCCCTTGCTTACCATGCTCTGGAGCATTCTAAGATGGGTTGTACCTTCCATGTAAGACATTATAACCTCAATGACCTGAAGGGACTAATAAGGAACCATTCCTGGAGACAGACAGAATAGCAGTACTATGTGTGCTTGGGCCTGTGCCTACATAGGTATAGCTCAGCCTTGTTAATTGTCCTTGACATTCTTTCACTGTGGCATGAAAAACAGATAGGACAAAGCATGCTCTCAGAGTTCCTGAAGAGACTATTCTCTGAGGAAGATGGACTATAAACAAATTTGCCTTAGGTCCCTGCGCCAACTTCACGCGTTGCGACGCACGCACCCCCCCGGAGGCCGCGCTTCTGAGGTAACGCGCTAGGAGCCGAGTTCTTTGGTGGAGCAACGCATGGCGGGAATGAGGTGGTATGAGAAATGAAGCCAACAGGTACAGACCCGAGAATCTTATCTCTGGCTGCTGAAGTTGCAAAAAGTCCTGAGCAGAATGTCCCTGTTATACTGTTGAAGTTAAAAGTCATTGCTGTGTTGGCTTGGAACCAGGAGAAGATGCAGAAGAATTTTACAATGAATTACTTCCATCCGCTGCAGAAAATTTTCTGGTTTTGGGGAGGCGATTACAAACATGTTTCATCAATGCAGCTAAGGGTGAAGAAAAAGATGCATTACTACACTTTTTTGAAGTTGTGACTGATTCTCTCTTCTGGCTATTGGGAGGCCATGTTCAACTCATCCAAAATGTGGTGATTTACTCAGAATAGAAGGGAAAATCCTGCATTCAATTTTAGATGAAGTTGTTTTCAAACTTTCATCAACTAGTCCAGTCATAAGAGGTACTGCTACAAAGCTACTACTGTTGATGGCTGAATCCCATCAGGAAATTTTGATTTTACTGAGACTAAGTCCCTGCTACAAAGGACTTAGAAGTCTACTAAATAAACAAGAACCTGGGACAGAGTTTAGTCAAGAACTTAGACAGCTCATTGGTCTTTTAAGCCCTAAGGCCTATCAGGAAGTAAAAGACCAGAAACGACATAAAGCAGCTTGCTTGATTCAAGCTTATTGGAAGGGTTTCCAGACTAGAAAGAGATTGAAAAAGCTTCCATCTGCTGTGATTACTTTGCAGAGGAGTTTCAGATCTAAACGAACAAAGATGTTAATGAAGCTAAGTAGACAGAAGGAAGAAGAGGACCACAGATTACAGCTGCAAATTCAAAGGCAGAGAGCCATGAGACTTTCCCGAGAAATACGGCTGAGTATGCTTGAAATAGTTCATCCAGGTCAGGTGGAAAAACATAACCGGGAAATAGAAGAGAAATCAGCACTGATTATCCAGAAACATTGGAAAGGGTACAGGGAAAGGAAAAATTTTCGTCAACAGAGGCCATCTCTTACGGAATATAAAGCGGCTGTCATACTTCAGAGAGCAGGTTCTCAGATATCAGATGTGGCCAGCAGGGAGCTCCATTCCCAAGCACAAGAACGACTGCAACACTACTTCATGGGCAGGGCTCTAGAAGAGAGAGCTCAACAGCACAGGGAGGCACTGATGGCTCAGATCAGCACCAACATTGAACAGTTGATGAAAGCACCAAGTCTGAAGGAGGCAGAAGGAAAAGATCCTGAGCTCTTCCTAAGTAGATCCAGGCCTGTGGCAGCCAAAGCCAAGCAGGCCCATCTTACCACCCTGAAACATATACAAGCACCCTGGTGGAAGAAGCTTGGGGAAGAAGCAGGAGATGATATTGATGTCCCAAAGGATGAACTTAGTGTAGAATTAGGAACTTTATTCATTGGTGGAACCAAACCACCTTAAGTTACCTGGAGGAATGAATATCTATATTTAAAGAGATTATATTGCTTCTACCTCTGACATGCTAGTAGACTAGTGTTATCCTTAACTCATGGTTTTCCAGAAGTTCTTCTCCAAACAAGACTTGAAGGAAATAGGCAAAGAGTTATTTTCTACCTCAATTTCAATTCTTTTCTTTTTCCACACCTCCATCCTTGGCCACACATACAAATTGGTGTGGCTTTTATTATGAAACTAAACTCAGCATTATATTCTGTTGGTAATATATGTTTGAAATGTGATATTTCTTTTTTTGTTTCTGCTGTTTTCCAACTAAAAGGTGTTTTCTAAATAAATATTTTCAACAATTGTTCTGGAAAAAAAAAAAATTTGCCTTAGTAGCAAATGTGTTGCTATGTATATGATATTCAGCTGTTCTCTTCAGTCTACAAGAAGCACCTTCTTGCTGCTTCCACAGCTCTGTGCTAATTCAGAAAAACCAATATATAGACAGAGAAGCAGACATCAAGGACTCCTGTAGCTTTGGTTTCACTGGTCTCCTTACATGAATGTGATCCTAACATACAGGATGCAACCGAATTCTAATTCATATTCAGCTTTCTGTAAAAGTTGATCTGAAAGCCAAGACTAAAGTAATGGTTAAAAACTATGCATAACTTGCACTTGTTATTCTATCTCACCCTAAACTCTGCCATTTCTGTGGCACTCTGGACTTCTCCCTTCCTAACAGAAGCTCGTCCATGGCTTAGGGGGCATCCTGTCTGTCTCTGTCTTCCCACTGTCAGATATGAACAGGGAAGCACATGGCCTAAATGCCACTAAAGCCATCATGTGACCATGAGGAGCCACACCTTTGGATGAAGCAGACCCTAAGGATGGCAGAGCAGAGCAGTAGGAAAAACTTGAGTCCTTGACAACACAATCAACCCTGACACGTGCCCCACTTGACTTGTAAAGTGAGATAATATAGCTCCTTACTGTTGAAGTCAGCTGACTCAGCTGAAGGTATGCTAGCTGATACACTAAGTAACTATCATACCCACTAATGCTACTTGGAATATTTTCTTTAGAGTCAATGTGAATTAATGAATTTGCTTATCCATTCATTCACTGATGAATACAGGTTGCTTTCTCATCTTAGCTCTTATGAGTAATGCCACCACAAATGTGGATGTACAGATATCTCTCTGAGCCTCTGCATATACCCTTCACCCCAGGCTCTCTGCAGGTAACATCCTGCATAACTGTAACATACCATCAAAACCAAGAAACCAACAGTGGTACACCCCACAGCTTATCCAGGCTTCACCATGTGTACATGTGCATGTGTGTGTAGTTCTATGCAATTCTATCACCTATGTAGTTTCATGTAACCACCACCACAATCGAGATATAGAGCTGCTCTATAGCCAAAGGGCTCCAAATCACATCCTGTTATTTAGCATAGAATAAAGAAGTATCACTGCATCACAAAGTTGTTTTAACATTTTGTTAATTGTATTTTAATATAATTGGTTTTCTTTATAATTGTATGTGTTTCACTTTATTCTTTTACAAACATTCTGAGGTGAAATTGATAGTATTCACCAGACTGCTAATGGAATTCTTGACTTGAAAAAAGTAGAGCCCATGCTGTAATGGGAATTCAGGTAATAGGTCTGTATTACATCTGATAACCTTTAGAGCCTCCTCTAATCCTGGATTAGAAAAGCAAGCATAGTTTTGTAGAGCACAGCATGTCTCTTAACTGTTTTCTCCTTAACCAACTCACTGATCCACAGACACTTCCCTCCCCTCTGCAATCGTTCCAGCTGACAGCACACAGCACGCTTTCCGCGTGACTTCCGGGCGACTCTGGAGTATCTACTCCACCTGCTGAGTTGGATGCTTACCAAGAGTCAGGTTGTCAACTATCCTAGAATTGCACTATCTGTAGCTTTCATAAAACTGTATAATTTAATAGGAAATGAAACATATGTGAAAAGAAGGTTATTTTTTAAATGAAAATTAGTTTGACAGCTTTTGAAAGACTCAGAATCAAGTCACTGAAGAGAGGGAAAAACAAAACTGTTGTGAAAGTGTGGCAGGACAAATGTAAAAGATGAAGGAAGAAATGTAAATACTTGGAAAATTCTATTCTCAGAATGCTTTCTGAGTACCTTTAAGATCTCTTTCCACTGAAAAGAAACTGTAACCAGAAACCTTAGACTATACATTACAGATAGGTTCTGTGCAAAAATGTCACACAACTCCCATCAATAGAACTTTATTAAAACAAAACAATATATAGTTAAGACTGATTTGCATTGTTGTATGGCAGAAACCAATAAAACACTATAAACCAATTATCCTCCAATAAAAAACAAAAAAAAAAAAAAAAAAAAAAAAATCCAAAAAAAAACAAACCCAAACAACTCTTGGTCCTACATCCAAAGGTTGGCCAGTGAACGTGCTTTTAAATATTCTAAGGTAAATTAAAATGTTAAGCCATGTAGCCTTTTCTATGCATGCTAAAGCCAACTTTTTCAATTATTGATCAACTCCTGGTCTGACAATATTGAATAAGAAAATAATCTCCTATACTAATGCCAGCATCAGGCAAACTTGTACTAAATATACACTAAACCTCATAAAACATTAAGACACAAGGCTTTGTTTCAAACAGTACTTAGTCTTGAAAGAAGAAAGTGAAATTCACTAATAAACAGAGTATCCAATAAATTTGAGAATAATTCATCAGAATTCTGTTTTCTTCTATATTCAATTTTGTTTGTATTCGAATTTTTTGCTGTTCACTAAGGTATATGATTTTGTAGTGAAGAAGAGCAGTGTTTTATTACTTGGGTTCAAAAACCTTTCTTGTCTTATACAACAATATTTATTTCAGTACTTCTCAAACTCTACCTGAAATAGAGGAGTGAACTCATACTCCTATAGCAAGGGAGATCTGGGGATATGGGCCAAGGGCTACAAATTAAAACTTATCATCTTTCAAATGTATGTAAATTTTGCATTATATCCTTTAGTTTATCCATATTTGTTTCAATGTTATAAAGCCCTTTAATTTTTCTTTAAATCATCTAGTAAAAATTTGGTGGGCTCCCCAGTAAGAGAAGCTCGGGCAAGATCAATTCAATACAATTTCAACTTCAACTTGTGTTAAATGAAAACAGAAATCAATTTTAATTTCTTGTTGAAGTATTATAAGGGATTAGGCAATATCCTACATGAACCAATAAAGGACAGAGGGAAACCTAAGAAGTATCCAAAGAAAGGAGGAAAGAGGCATGGGGATAAAAATGAAATCTTTCACTAACCTGGCTGTCCACCCCTCTTAAGTGTCATCCCAGCATCTGTCAAATTTTAAGGTGGGCTGGATCTTTTCCACTACTGTCACTCTAGCCCTTGATGAAGATGAAGATCTGACATCAAATCTTTACAACCTTCCTGTGTGAAACCTCTTAATATCCCATTCTACAGAAAAGGAAACTGCAGTCCAAAGATTTGAAGTAACCTGCCCAAAGTCACAGGGCCAAAAAGTGGCAGTGCTAGGATTCAAATCCAGCCAGTTTAGCTCCAGGGTCTGAGCTCTTAACCACTGTGTTTGAATAAATGATTGTTCAGTAAATGAATGAATAAATAAATGATTTGTAAGAAATATTTGTAGGAAAGCAAATATTTTAAGCCAGAAGACTATCTCCTTACAGTGCAGTTTGTTGCTTCGGCTGTTGAGTGGTTCTGGTCCATTCACATCTTTGCTCTTTTCATTATCCTCAATGGGTCGGAAATGAGCCAAGGTTCTCATGAATCCACGGAAGTTCACCTGGTCCTCTCTAATCAAGAAAGATAACAAAAAGAATATGTCAATCAAGGTGATTATTTCTTTTTTTTTTTTAAGGTGATTATTTCTTATGAATTTAATATATTAACAGTTATAGCTAGAGTGGCCTGAAGGTCCATTTAATGAAGTCTCTTTCCATATGCATGTTACTTTAGAGTTCATACAATATTTTCAGCTGGTCTTGCCACAACCCTTTGAGGTAGGTATTATTATTCTTACTTTATAAATGATTAACCAGACTTAGAAAGGTAATAGGACCTACCAGAGTAAGTTACCTATTAAATTTACTTACATTTCTTTTCCCAAAGAAGACTGTAAGTAGCAGTTAGGCTGTGCTACCAGACAAGCCAATCCTTGAACTCACTGCTTCAGACTCTGAAGTGAACAGCAAGTTAGCCATTTCAACTCGGCATCTCCCTATCCACCTCGCATATCTCCCCTGTAGTCACATATACCTAGTGATATTTTAAGGTTAAGGCATATTATGCAACAACTGCTTTTGAAATAAAGTTTATTTAGTCACAGAATCAATAAATACATTTTGAAAATTTGATAAAAAGTAGAAAAATACCACTTCTAGTTCTACCAATCAGTTAGAATCATTGTTAATGTATTTTCCAGTAATTTTTCTGTGCTTTTTGGAGAATTGTGAACATACTGCATATGTAATTTTGTAGCTTGCTTTTTTAAAACTTTTAGGCATGTCTCTAACCAATATAAACACTTCAAAACATTTTAACCATATGCATAATCGTGTGGCTGTATCATGATTTTATTATTCTCTCACAGTTGGATAGATATTTTCCTCATAATGCTTTGAAAGACCTCTTTATGTATAAAGCTTTTTGGGTACTGAAGATTAGAGAAAATCTTTTTATTGGGCCACAGTTAATCAGTAAACCTTATAAGAAATAATTCTAAAACTTGAATGAATAAAGAATGCTTTTTAATATTGAAAAAGAACGTCCCATGTGAATAGTTATTTATCTAAGGCAGTCATGGAAAGAACAGGTTGTCTGCTTCCTGCGGCTACCTAAAAATAAATCCTAGTCTTTGTTTGTCCCCATTGAATAGATGTGGTATATCGGGTCTCAAGTGCGAGCAGACATACAGATCAGAGACTTCCTAAAGGTAGAGTTCACAGGTGACGTCACGAACCCTTTGTACTCAAAAGAATGACCTTTCATTACCTCTAAAAAATGTAAGAGTTGAGCAACCATGGAATGTGTAACAAGACTGGAGTCATATGCCAGAACAAATAGGTAAACATATATCACTGACATAATGTCTCTGAGTAAAAGGAAACTAAATACCAACGTATTGAAAGTAAGCTTTCAAATCTCATTCTATAAAAAAACAAACAAAAACAAACCTGAGCGACTTCCCTGGTGATCCAGTGCTTAAGAAGCCACCTGCCAGTGCAGGGGACACAGGATCAATCCCAGGAGGATACCACGTGCCGCAGGGCAACGTAGCCCACACTTGAGAGCACGTGCTCTGCAATTACTGAGCTCTAGTGCTACAACT